AGAATTCGTCATGTACATATGACCTTTCCATACTGCGTCGGCACGCACAGACTTGAAAAGGTTTCATCTTGTCGTGTGCGTGCATATGTGAATAGTAAATGACATCACATATCACTCAGGGACTGATCATGAGAAGCTATTTAGCCTCACCAAAACGACGGGCGGGATATCACGTCTGGTTCACGTGGAATTATGGAGTAGCGTGTGCGATACATATGGAAGGTTCTAATGCCATTTCAGCTGCTGTGTTCAGCAAGTCGACTAAAACCGAACTTGATATCGATAAAGAAGAGGCCAAGAGCTGTGGAGAGATTAGATCGATCCCCGATTTCCAAACATTTATTTTCAGTAAATATTGTTGGGTAGAAAGCATACAGTTAAAGGAATAACTCGATGCTCTTCTGAATCAGGAGTTAGGCTGAAATAGTCACCTCTCTCTGTCGAGATATTTGCACTCCCCATCATGAGAGATCTGAGATCCATTCCTGAAGAAGAGTTTTGTGTGTGATGGTACACCGGAACTTTAGTGGTACGAGAGCACTGGGACTCTTATGCCACGTCAACCCACTGCATCCACATCATTTCCTCCCTTCCTGATGTTGCCGAAGCATGAAGGGCATGATAACAGTGACGCGTAATAGATTCGGCAGAAGCTCAACTTAATGTATGCTCAGTTCGCTAGAAAATCAGTCCTGGCACGTCATCGAGTAGTGGATGATCATTTCTTTTGTAACGGCCGAATCTTCATGCATTTTGTTGTATTTACGCTTATACAGCCTGGACCAAACCTTAACTTCGTCAGAGGGTGTATGTGGTTAGTCGAAAACTGCCCTTAAATTTAGTTTATGCGTTCATGTACTTGGGCGTGTCAGCCCGAAGAACGGTAGAAGTGAGGTGCGACTGGTCACAAGGTTTTGTCTAACAGGGGGCATTCATGTGCAGGTGACAGTAAAAGTGACGCCTAAGCAGATCAACCGCAATAACCTATTTAAGAAATCAAGGGGGTATTCCCTTTCAAAAACCTACTGAACCCTGAAAATGCAACAACAGTTCTCATCATATCAAACTTCAGGATAAGTTCTTTATGGAAGTAGAGAGCGTGCACCGACCTAAGAAAAGCCCTTTCGTTGAAGTTCAGGTTCCATTTGGAATGTCTTTGTCAAGTTGGGAAACGCTCCAGTAATGAAGCAGCCAAGTTTTAGTCTCATACGCGACGGAGTTGACTGTAGAGTTCACCGGCTAAGCGGTAACAAAGGAGGCCAACCGTGAATATTAAAGTCCTGGTTAGGAACGAAGAGAAAAAGAAACGTCAGTGGGCTGTGAAGACTGTTGCTGCATTAGAAAACCCTGCTAGCATCTGTCTCGTCCTAAGGGCTGGGCCTAACTGGGGTGGACGGAACCATGGCCCAGTCGGGATTGTCGTACTTACTTTGTTTTTAGCACAACTAGTTGATAGTACTGCATGCTTTGCAGTACAAATAGCATCTGACGGGGGAACACATTTTAAAGTGAAGTGGACTCCGAGAAAAGTGGCTGGAGCCAGTTGTGTGCCTCTTTTATAATCTGCGAAAGTCTGCATGAAAGGAAGGCGGTTGGACACGAGAATAAGGAAATCCCGTACTACAGGTAACCTTGCGCTAGACTCCAGGGGTGCCTGTCCCCGCATCCTAACCATAACACTAACCCTTTTAGTCCTAACCGTCATATCTCCAACCCTAATTCTAACCGCCCTGGTATTTAGGACAAGGTCACCTGTAAGAGGGAGCTTGTTCCTGTGCCTTAACAAGGGAACTGGCTGGCGATCCTGTCAGTGCTCACCATGGTATCATTTAGAACGAAATGAGGCGTATTCATACTAAATGCCTGTCTTAGTTATTCTCAACGTGGAGAAGGTCAGCTATGTGGGCAATAAAATGATAACTGTGGCGACCATGCGTCCAAACTGGGAACTCCCTTATTGAGTTGTCAAGTCCACGCCTGGTGCAGAACATCACAGACTTCGAAACACATCCTGTTTATTGAGTCATCTCATTACAAGTTGAGAGGGCACCTGTAGGGAACTCCAAACGACACTTTGTGAGCAACATTTGTTTCCACAATGGTAATCTGAAAGTCCTACGACCGTCTATAGCCCTGCGCGTGTGGTCACATTTCGAAACTGATGATGGCGAGAGTTCGCACGCGTGAAAAATCGATAAAAAGGTGCTTTATGCATTATCCAGCTACCATTCGACAGGAGTAGAAATGAGCAGGGCTGAAACGACCATTGCGAAGAAAGGTAGGGTCGCTTAAACAGTTTACATTTTTACTTTTTATTTGCTCAATTCTTTTAAAAGCTCGATAGATCTCTTCTAAACGCATAAGTTGACATTTTTCTCTCCTTCTTGGTTTGTAATGTCCTTTTCATAAGTATGTCAACCTTTTTAAATCCTCGGCGTGATCTAGCATTACGTTTACACAATTCAGGCCTTTCTGTCTAAGAAGCATACAAACATCAGCGCAGCTACCCTTATGACGGGGGAACTACTCGCAAAAATGTCTTGCATCTAACCGTTTTTGGAAACCTTTTATAAATATCATAAAATCATGCAGCAAAATACTGAATTAAGGTCGTATTTGAAATATGACTTTGAAGTATGCCAGGGTTCGACTGATTTCCGCTGACCTTTTGTTAATGCGAAAACTGTGTAAATATGCTCCAGGTAGGCTTTAGACGACGTACCAGCGAATCCACGGACGAGATTGAAAATGTAAAATTTAACACCGCGGCGAGCGCACATAAGAGCCCTTGTGCTACCGACGATATCTGCCGAGGGGGAGGGTGAACTGTGCTGCCCACCACCTTTACTGCACGCGGTTTCAAGTTAATTTGTATGAAAAGACAGTTCACGACCAAACACGCGGTAGCTAGGACGGCAGCTCGCTAGTCGAATTCGACAAAAGGCTGATGACCTGCGCGTCCCGGAGATTATAGTGCGGTGGACTTGCGCCGTATCGCCCTCACGTCCTCAACTCCCACTCACAAGAATTGTTCTGGACTGTTGAACCCACTGCGGCCACGCTCCCTGATACAGGGGTCTAAGCCAAATGTCGTTTGTCCTGAAGTAAATGGGCGACACAACAAATTTGTTCACACAATGAATTTACGCGTGCAGACAGGTCAAACCTCTTGCAACCCCAGAGTTTCCCAACCCAACGTCGGTCGCCAGTAATATGTCAAGCGGTGTCGCATGTGCAACGTTTTTTGGAATAACTCGAGAACGCTCCTAGAAGTTGATATGCCAGTAAGACCGTCACTAACAACGATCTCCGAAATGTGCCACACCGAGTGGGCAGAGCATCGGTGAGTTGGGCGTGAGCTAGTTCATAGTAGCAGCAGACTTTAACGACATATATCGTACATCCTCCTCACTTACCCAGAAATTTCGCCAAAAAGAGTGAGCGCAGTGTCTGATAAAGTTGCACAACCCCTCTGCGCGTGTCACACATGCCCAGTCCGCGCATTCTGGGCCTGCTGTTCACAGGGACAAGAAAAGGGCTGTTTGGAACTACCATAAAGACCACTTTTAGGAAGAGCCACTGGGGTCTGGCTCCCAGTCCTAAGGGAGCCCAGCTATGCCGTTATTTGGCAGCCTTCGAAGCCATGACGTATTGCGCGACGCGACAGATTCAAGAGCGTCAGTTTTATTATAGTGAGGAATGGACTGCGGTGCTGTGGGGTACCCAGCATTGGCTTCACGCCCTCTTCTCTCTCCTGCCCACCAGATGACTGTCCGGTTGTGAGTAGTTGCTGACAGAGCTTCAGGAGGCCGTTTACGTGTGTCACACGCGAACTCATCGGACACCCGGTTGGGCCAAGAAGTATGCTTTCCACTAGGGTGAGTAGTGCATGTTCTGTGCCTTTAGTGGGTGGTGTGGGGCAGGTTTCTGAGCGTCGTATTGGTTGGTGGGGTGATGCATGTTGGTCGGGTAAGGATTGGGGTGGTTTGCCGAAGATTTTCATTGAGACACGGCCTAGTAGAGCCACGCAGTGATTGAATGGTCTTGGGTAGTGTTGACATTTGAAGCGTGTGCGGCTGGTGTTTATGGTACTCCTGACACTGTTTGGTCTTTCGCGGTGCGACGGATTCGCGAGTGATCGATCCGGCCGTCGCGTGATGTGAAGGTGCGAGAACAATAGGAACAGGCTGTGATCAAGTTCTCATTGCTGGCGCAGGGGAGATTTTTGTGACGGGGATTAAAGTTGTTGTGGCGTCAGGAGTGTTAACACTAGTAGTAGGGATGGTGTTTGTCGGAGTGGGAATTGCGGTAGAGGGGGTAGAGTGGGAGGTGGTTTCAGAGACAGGGGAAGGTGTGCCGCGTTCGTAGTGCATTGAGTTGGAAGATTTTCGATGAAATCTACCCATGGACGAAATATCTATTGGCATCGTGGTCATGATGGGAGGGGTTTGATGTTGGAATTGTTGGTTCGCGAGATTGAGGGCTTGAGAGTGGCTCTTTTGGCTTTGAAAGCGGCGATCCGGATGGCTTTGCAGATTACTGCCGTAGCCTTTATTGCTGTTCTCCAAGCCGCGCGACCCTGGACGAGGTCCTCCTTGTTTCCTTGTGACATCGAATCTGTCCTCTATGTGAACTAGCACGCGCGGTGACATTAACTTAGAAGAGCGGCCGTGGTGAGCACTTGTCGTCCGTCCTCACGACGCGACCGTTACAACGTAGTTGGATTTGCCTCGACATGGAATGGATGCTGGGTATCCCGGCTCATTCCAGAGTAGGGCTTTTTGCACTACCATCGTGTACATCTTGAGTTGTGTATTGAATTGAGGTCCAGCCCGATTCCAAGCTTAGACTTGTAACCGGCCGAAAGTCTGACTGGCTGCGGAGATCTGGTAGGTCGCTTCGTCCTCAATCTTGGAATTCCTTGAAATTGCACTCCCTTGATATGCGAATTTGCTCACTGGTGCAAGCCGAATTCTGTTAACAATGATGTTGGATGCCTCCTACTCCACGTTCGATGCCGGTTGGAGTACGTCCACTGTCTCCCCCGTATTGGTCAGTCTGGAGTTGGAGCAGCCGAAGGCGATGAGGCCAACACTCCGCTGCATGTCATCTTCCGTTGTGGTGTCTAGAACGCATTCATCCGCGAACACCAGGTCGGGAAAACTGCCATTCGATACATTCAAAGGTGCCTTTGAGCGGCGAGTTTCGAACAGTTTTCCCTCAGTTCCGTATTCGATATCGATCCCATGCCGCTCCCAGGTGTAGACCTTTGTCAGCATAGTGTGGAACGGGAAACTGAGTAGTTTTGGAGCGAATTTGGAGCGAATTTTCTCTGACCGGCGGGGTTCACCCCCGTGAGCCGTGAGCTACTTCGACTATGGTTCTCCGGTCCGCAGTTTGTTAACAAGCTCAGCGATCTCCCCCGTCCGGATTCGGTGCTGACTGCTTGGGCAGGCCAATGGGCCACACAGAGGGCGCGTATGTGGGCAGTTCGCAGTGCCAATGTCCATGAACCAAATGAGAGAGTGCTTGTTACACCAATAACCAACACGAGTGATGACAATGCAACACTTAACGACTCGATTGTAGGCAGTTAAGCCATTATTGCAGCAAATCTAACCCTCTGCAATGAATGCGGGAGACGCTAATTATGATAAATATGCAGTGGCATAGCAACCGCATCTTATGAAAACTGTAGTGTTTGTGCAAACGATGCCCTTATCTGATGAGGTCTCTGATAAATGATTCCATAGTGAGTCCGAAGAGCGAAGCGAATAAAACTTTGGTTTCAGCGATCGTATCTTCTCCTTCCCATCTATCTCCCGGAACTCATCTCTTCAATTTTATCGAGTAACTAAGTCCCTTTTTCTGATCTCTTACTCGTTACCGGTTGCAGAATTGGCCGTAGTCGATTAAGAAACACTTCAACTAAGCACATACCTGGTCGATTCGAGTTTGATTCTCAAGTAGACTGCTAGCTACGGTTGACTGCTTGTCACCAGTAAGTTTTTTTTACATTGTCGCAAGCATCCGCTGTGTCGTTATTTCAACAGTACGCTTGCGTTAATCCAAACTTGACTACAGCCTGCATGGCGCCGAATTTCATACCTGAACGCACACTAACAAACGATGTATTCTGTGGAAAATAGAAACACATACAACTTTAAAAATGATCTTCTCTGCACAAACCCGAAAATTCAGCCCTTATGTCACGTCTTAAATCCATTTGGCTAGTTTCCTTAAAATTATGACGTTCCAACTTGGCCAAGGCTCTGAAAAACATAGTTCGGTCTCAAAAGAGACTACAATGGCAAATGGTAACTACTGGAGTCCCGATTCAGTGCGACCGTTGGAAAACTCTCGAGTTCACTCGATGGTGGCGCAGTGACTCGATCAAATGGAGAAATTAACAACTATCTGTTCAGGCAATTTAAGCTAGCGCAGTAAATTAATGACAAAATCGCCTAGAGAAGATCCCGAAGGGTAATGGGTCGAAGCGGTGACTTTCACAGTTGATCTCAAAAGTCACAACACATTAAGAAGCAAGGGTATGCCTTATGGCCGGGGTTACATACTCTGGGGAACAATTGTGCTAAACAAGTGACTGGCGATATCTATCTGTACGTGCTAGAGAAAGGAATAGAAAGACCTCGCGCTGGCTGTTGTTTGAGGGTAGTCAAGATGCCTTAAGTTAGTCATAGGAGTAAAAGTATGACAATGTCTTCAAAAGGGAATTAAGTTCATTCTCTATTATCATTAAATGTTAACAATAGTGCCACCTTTTAATCGTTGGCAATATGGAGGATTAAAATGTGTGATATCTCAAAGTTCTTTGATGTTCAGCTCTTTTGCTAAAGACAAATGCTTACCGGAATAAGTAACCCCGGTCATAAACCATACCCCTGCCCATAAACGCTTTGCCAAGTTTTGAGTCAGGTCGCTTGTAAGTCTACCGCATTCATCGATCCTGTTAGCGACATGAATGGACAATTCATCGAATTTTTCGAGCGCCTTATTGACCTACGTGAGTGGCACATCATCACTCCGCTCTCTCTCTCTCTCTGACCATCTGTAGCCTTCTCCGCTCTATTCGGTTCCATGTGACATCCTCCCAGCAAAAATCAACCGAAACAATACTCAGGCTTCGCGCAAATATGGCGTCTGTAGAGAACGGCACTCCTAGCGAAGTTAACAAATGCTGCATTAATGCTTATGTCTACTTATCCGACACAGTGACTAAACAATCGTAGGAAGATGAGATTGATCTTGTTGATAGAGATTTGATCGTTCTATATAGTGCCCAGCGAACTAATCTACGCTCGACTTCTTAATCCGGCAAGACGAAATATCGATTAATTCATATAGTTTTCAGAGGCGACTGCAATAGTTTGCAGGCGGGACAACGGCGCAAATCGAGGTGCGGAGCCCGATGGTTCCACCTAACAAGCACTTTCTGAATGCATGGGTCTCCTTTTTGCGACATACCATTACAACTTTTTAGCAGCACAACTCTGGGATTTTAATGGGTCTCGACCGTTTTATCCGTGCACTGTCCTTTATAAAGAAGTTATAATGCATTGAAAGGTTTTTGCTTATTTTTAGACTTTCATGTGAAGGTCTCCAACTACAAGAGAGCAAAGGATATTCGTGAGTGCGAAATAAATTAATGTTTACAATGAACAGTTAATAGTTTTCCCACCTTTAATGATTAAACATTATTTCCTCGGTTCCAAATTTTAGACATTTAATGGAGTCTAAGTACTGACATAAATAAGACAATAGGAAGAGTATTTGGTCCATATCTCAAGCAAGTAATGCGGAAAAGTTGGATTTATTGTGTAAATGAAGGAGTCGTTAAACTGTTGAGATAGCATATACTTCGAGTAAGATCAGAGGCTCAATTTATGCACATTAGATAGGTCTAAGTGCTAATTTTAATGAGCGAAGCCGCATATAGATGCGCCGTACTCGCCCTCGGAACTCAAACAGTCTACTTTATAGAGGGAAACGGCGCATAAGCTCCTTGCATTTCAACCCAGGGGTCTAATTTCTATTGAAAAAGACGATTTCAAGACGACAACAGTCGAAGAGCCTCACAGTTCTAACCATGCAATGCTTAATCATGCAGCATAGTTGATTAGTCCTGCTATGCGGGCAACCGTGGTCCATATTTACTGGAAATATTTATAAGCGCAAAAGGACACTTTTCCAGTAGCGAGGAGGACTGTACGCATTTTCTTGACTAGAAAGTGTCCACTATGCAATTTCGGAACTCCGAGCACAAATGTAACGACGGCTAGGGTTCAACATTATCTGGCACTTGGTAAGATTTTGAGACCAAAAACAGGACTTTTCCATAATATGAAGTCTAATGAAGACGCGGTGCTCTGAGAAAGACATTTTTGAAAAAAATTATTTTACGCATAAATCCTACCAAATATGCTTTTATTCATGAATACATTTTCGCCATGACAGCCATTTGTGTCCTCTCCTGACTCTGGTCTTTTTGACTCCTTCTGGACACCGGGTCCCGATGGGGGGGGGGGAGGGGGAAGAGAGTGCGGTAGATGCTGCGCAAACGTGGCTTTATTGTGAACTAATTCACGCGCAAGTCACCGTCCCTGCTCTCACCATGCTGGGGAGCACACGGAGGACGCCGTCGGCAACGGATTTCCTAAGTAATCAGTCCAGCATCCACTACACGACTACTAGGCTCACTTAATCAATATTTGTGGCAGAGTCTGAATGATTCATTTGGCCCCCACTGTAACACAACCATGTGCGTTTCGAAATACCGCCTACATTTGATTGCTTTCAAGACATACAATTGTGAAGGCACTATCGTTTTACAAAAGTACAGTCCTACGATTGCGAAGGAGAGTGATTAAGTTCAATTTAGTGCAATCCATTTGCAGTAACCCGTAATCTAAGCACAGCAAACACAAAACGTGCGAGTATGCTTGAATATGCTCGAATGTGCTTGAATATCATCGCCTTTACCTTCCATAACCATTATTGTTCATTGGTTGTCTTTTCGACTTTCGTTGCTATACCAGTGAGTGGGTTATTGTACTTGTCTGGTGGCGAATACGCGAATATGCATGTTTGCTTACTTTTACTTCATCGATATTTAAATACATGAATTTTCGAGCCCTTGATTCAAAGTGTTTTCAAGTCTGAATTTTTTAAAATTCCAATCTTGAACCTTTCAAAATTCGTCCTTTCGAGTTTGTGTAGCTGCCTAAAATATTAGTGTGAAACGTTGCCAGTTAAAAGTAGCATACCGTATATAGTCGTTAGAAATATTTGAATAATTACGTGATGTGAGTTGCTAACAGGAAATTTCGTGTTGAAAAGTCAGGTTTTATTTTTGTGTAGACTACTTGAATGATCATTGACACCTTACATTCATTAGAAACTATTAATATTACTGTTCAGTGACGATACGTGTGCCTTTACTGTTTATATCTTCCTCGGATACCTTGATGTAAAGAAGAAATTCAATTCGTAGAGCAGTGTTAACACGGCACTTAACTCTACTTTTCACCAAAAAGGAACGTTCTGGGGAACGACATCCTTCCCTGAGGAGCTGACAATATAGGCAGTGACAGTGTGCGGATAGCATTAGTATGGCAGACAGTGGAAACGTTGGTATCTTTAACGAAAAAACCCAACCGCCCTCTCAGTTTCCGGGTTTGCATACCGCTAATGGGGTGTTAAAATTACTTATTCATGACTTCTTCTTCAGTTACCGAGTATTTTAGTTCTTGACATGTGGGTAACGTTTGGGCCCTCAATAATTATTCCCTGGGCAAAAGTCATTTTTCTTCTCGATAATTGGGAAGCCCTATGCGTTGTCTAATTGGGTGGCACCTTTTATAGGATAGAGAATAGCGGAATTCGTAAATTTTCTGTCTCATACTGTCTTTGATTAGGTGAATCTGGATGACTTTGTAGAATGAAATCGTTTATACCTGCCCTTATTAGGTATGATATTGTGAATTAAAGAAAGCTGAAGACAGTGTTGGTCTATCAGGTATAGACTGATTATACATCCAAGCTTCAACACTTAGCCGGTCATCCAGGTTTTGGACGTCCATATTAAGTCTCCTCGAGTGATCTGTGAACTCGTCTATCGTTGTTTTTGACGACTACTTCAATGCCATATGTTAGAATTAGGGTTAGGGCTAGTATCAGATTTTGGGGTTAGTGTTAAGATTGACCAGAGTCAGGGTTAGGATTGGGGTTAAAATAGGACACGGAAATAGGAACTCCCCTGGAATTTAACGCGTGGCCCCTTGTAGCGCTTGGGGTGCGTCCCTACCCCTGTGTCTGGCTGATAACATCTGTTGTTTCTTACACGGTTACGCTTTAACAGTAAACGACATTTATGCATTACGGAGGTGACTTACTATATTAACAAGCAGGACTAAGGTTACTTGGCGTGAGATAGTTGGTTTGGAGTGTTTGAAACGGAACTAAAGACAACATAAATAAAATTTCAGTCTTACCAGCATTCTTTTAGTGTCCTGATGAGGATTTACAGTCTTGCTAAAAACAGGCCAAACAGAACAAGTGCCCCAGTCGCTGCACAAAATGTGCCAAATGTGTACAGAACTCTGGAGATGCTCGTTATCTTGCCCTTTTAGAGGGCACAACTTTAGAGAGTTTCACTTCATTTGAACGTCCCTACTGCAGAAGTCTGGTTGTTTATTTCTACTCGAGAGAACATCAATGAACCACTGATTTCTTTAATATGCCCAGGAGCTCAACGGATCTACGGGAAATTAGAGCCTACTGTCATTGACGACGAATTACTCACCACAGCGTGTTTTGCTCAGGGACCAACAGGTGAAGCGGGAAAATTGGCTGAAGCCGAAGGAATCGCCTTCTCCTCAGTAAAGCAATTGTCACTGGCCTACAACAGTAAGCAAAACATGCCATATTTGATCTCAACTAATTATTTGGGTAGCAGAACCACCTTCAAATGTGTGAATTCGGTCTTAGCATTTTTGGCAACTTACAAACATTAACGCGCGCCGCACGTTACACTATTTGGCTTTGTTAAACTTGACTGTGACCCTCGAAATACAGGATGAATTTTGTGCTATTACCAGTCCTACGCACTTTGAGGTTGTAAGAATGTATGTTTTAAACGAGTTTTCTCCAACCGTTCGGTGCCGGTTAATCAAACAAAGATGCCGGCTGCTTCATATCCATTCTGATACATCTTCCAATGCACAGCTTCTCAGAATGAAAATACTCCGCTCTGGGTCTTACGCTCCAACAGATATATACATGTGGATATAGGCAAAAATGCTGACCCCAGGTGTTAATGGAAGAGGTACCAGTTCGAGAAGAGATGGATTCAGGAGTATCCCCGTATTAAGTTCAAAAGCTATCTACATGAGTTGGAGATTATGTTAACAATACCGAATCCAGTTTATCTCCTTAGGCTCCTTAGTTTTAAGCCAACAGAGATTTGCTCGTTTTCTCCAGAAAAAAAACATGTTTACTTGGTTATTTTGCAAGATAAATCATGGATAAATCCAAAAATAGTTTTACTACAAAACCAGCCTCTAAATTTAACAAATATTGGTTTGGCGTAATGCACATTTTACTGTTGTATTATGGGCTTTTCATCGTCTGAGGATTCTACGCCTGTGCCTGTAAATTGGTGGGAGATGCATCTATTAGACTTCATTAAGGGTAGTTCCGTTTAAAATGACACCAATTCCAGTTTTTTCGCCATATTAATTCGAACTATCCGATTAAGTATGGAAGGAACTTGGCAGTCGCCATTACTTGACTCTGCTCGATAGCTAATTCATCGGCAAGCGTAATTTGCAAAAATAATTACAATCCGATTCTATCAGGATGCCACAAATCGGCATGCCCAACGAATGATGACAAGAACACTTTCACTGCAATGGATCTCACCTGCTATAAATTTAAGAAGCTTCAACGGTGAATGGTGGCAGACGAAAGACATAAATATATATTCAAGGCGGTGGCTGCCACCACTTGGACACAGTCATTTCGTAAATGGTCGCGTAAAGCTGACCTCAGTAAGTGAACGGGCAAAATTTATGCTATAAACTACAACAGGGCTCTCCGACTAGAAAAAGTGGAGTAATATCTTTTGTGGGCACCACCACACATAGTTAGTCTACATGTTGCCGAAGACGTCGTCCAAAAGACACAAACTGCATCACAATGAGCTAAATTCAGTTTTAGTCCCTTTAATGAAGCAATAGGTCCGGAACATGCCGATTTTACTAAGCACTGTTTATGGGCACAACTGATACTTTGAGGCCTTCGTTCCTACATTCACGAGAGGTGGGTTTCAACAACAGAATACACAATGACTGCTGTAAGGTAACCGGAAAGGGTTCAAAAAGCGCGGATGCAAAGGAAATTTGTCCGGTTTTGATCAAATTCTACAGAACTTAATTCTTAATTTCAGATATTTTGAAAATTGGCGGAATCGAGGAATTAGTCAACATTACAACACTGAAGTTGGACAACAATATCATCGAGAAAATTGAGGGCCTGGATTATCTCGTTAATATTAAGTGGTTAGGTAAGATCCGTCGCGCCGTAGTTTGGTTACTGAAACAATAAATGGTGGACACCCATTTTACGCCCAACAATGGTATGTAAGCACAAACAAAAGTTAGACTTGCGCAGTCTCCCCCTACCTGAACTGTTTTCAAGTTTTCACCCATAATCTTTAGTGAAGCAGAAGGCTCTAAACACGGACTGACAAGCCAGGAGCTTATCCACCAACCTATCTGAACAGGTCGAAATCCAAACCACACCTGCTAGACTACAGTTGACGTTCATAGAAATAGCGGTAGGACTGACTTATAGGGCTCTCTAATCAGGGTTATGTTTAAGGCTAGAGTTAGCCTAGCTGTTGGCTAACCGGCGCGTCCACAGGTGGCGGGTAGCAGAGCGGCCTTTAGGGAAGGTTAGCTGTGACATAAACAGACCCAGGACTGACGAATAAGCAATCGCGGACCAGCAACAATATTGCTACCAGGATGCGGTGGGCTGAAATCTGGCACGCTGAAAGCCATATAAAAAAGTCGCAAAGCCCAATGACGGCATTATGACAGGGCGACCGTAAACCGCCATTAAATAAGTTTGCTTACCATCGCTGCCTTGTGGTTAGGTTTAAAAGCCAAAGCGCTAGAGAAGACAACCTCGAACAAACAACCCGATGTGAAAATGGTGATAGATTGCTGAACTTCGTTGATCGAAATCGACTGATTGTCACCAACACATGTTTCCAGCATCGCAAAAAAACATCTGTTGACCTGGAATTCAAACGACGGCCATACGACCAGTCAACTTGACTACATACTAGTCAGCCCAAGGTTCCGCAGCTGAGTTCACGACTGCAGATCGATGCGTGGTGCCGAGACTGGTAAAGCCCATGGGTCGGACCGTGTTCTCGTTCGTACACGCTTGAAAGTTCATTTCTCATCCGCGCCCAAAATATCACGTCCTGGACTCCTCGATGTCACAAAAATCCGGCAGACAGCACTGCTGAGGCCCTGAGCAGGGAAATCCGATCCTGTTTTACGACCCGAGCCGACGGAGAAGGCAGTAACCAGTGGTTGTCACTGAAAACGTCAGTCCGTGGGGCGGCTGAGAGAATCCTTGGATATACACAACGACGCCGCAGTGACTGGATCATCGGAAGAATTCTGCAGTTGTCTGCTCAGACAGTTCGAGCCAGTGCCCCTAATGATGATCCCTTCCACCAACTTCGAAAGGTGGCGGCAAAATCGGCGAGGAACGACCGGACGCAATATTGGGCTAAAATAGCGACCTCCATGGAACAAGCCTCGAACGTTGGCGACACTCTAAAACTCTATCAACTAATCCGTAAAGTTAGCGGTAAGCCCTCTACACTGAGTGACTCAGTTCCCGACGTGAATGGCGGCCTTATTGCTGACAACTTGCCAAAGTCGAGCGCTGGCGTGAGTACTTTGAGCATCATCTCAACTTCGATACTCAACATACCTCACCCTTGCTCTCCTCTGCAACGGAGTTCTTTTCCCTCTGCAACCTATGCAGTGTCATGCGACCCCCCTTCTGAAGTAGAGGTCGTCGATGCCATACGAAAGCTACGCAACAACAAGGCACCCGAAAAGCACGGTATACCCCCTGAAATCTACAAGTCTTGTGCCGACACTCTGGCGCCCTGGCTCCATGAGGTGATTGAACAAGCGTGGAGAGACGAGGTTGCTTCTGATGTCTGGGGCTTAGGCATCCTTGTATCTATCCTCCAGAAGGGAGATAAGATGACATGCGAGAACTACTGCGGCATAAGCCTCTTCGACGTTGCTTCGAAGATCTTCGCAATCTTCCTACTCAGGCGATTCCGGGCTGTGCGTGACTAAACGACGAGGCCCAACCAAGCTGGATTTCGTGTTGGACGTGAATGCACAGGCGCATTCTCGAATTTCGCCATAGCTACCAACAACCGACGGCCGTCGGCTTCATTGACTTTGCCGCCGCGTTCGATTCCGTTCATCGTGAGTCCCTGTGGCGGATAATAACGCCAGATGGTGTACCGGTAAAAATCATCGCCATGACCAAGGCCAATTCTCGCGCCACTACTGCGCAAGTCCTGGTCCGCATCCATTTTTCCAACCGTTTGGTATTCGGTCTGGCGTTCGGCAGGGTTGTATCCTGTCGCCCATTCTGTTCAACTACGCTATTGACTGG